TTCGGTTAACGGCTGCCTGCTTATTGAGATAGGTTGGCAGTATGATGTATAGAATATAAATAATACCAGCTTCTTTGTGCTTGTTGCAGTGCTCAGGGGACAGAGCTTCTTGTGCTCTTAGGATTCAGAGGAGCCCATGGCATTCTCTCCTTTAACAAGTCAGACCCAGTAGCTTGCTCACTCGTTCCTATTTTTAATGCCGAAGTGTGGGTGGCAGCATGGAATAATTGTTTTGGGAGGAGGGGCCTTGCTTGGTCTGCTTAGAGAACTCCAGGATATAAACTAATAATGAAAACTATTATTTTACTTTTGGGAAGGTCTTCTCTTGAGTTATGTTGGGGAAAAAGAACATTACAAAGAAACAACAGGGGTATGATGATGCTAGAGTAGCAGCTCTACATTTTGTAGTGGTACAGGTAGGAGATGTTACAAGGAGATACTTGAAGGAGTGTTAGAAAATAGCTTTATTGAGAAGTGGAAGGAGCTTTGTTCAAAAATGATGTGCAGAAGTCAAGAAAGTGCTTGCGTGAAATGTCATAGAAGTGGTTATTGAGTGCTGTCCTTACGGAAAGATGGGAGTAAAGAATTTGATACTCAGAGGTGATGGTAGAGGAGAAAACCCAAGAGCTTCTCTGAAAGGAGTGACAAATAGACATGTCTGATGTGAGAGGAAAGGGACTTACAGTGAACTGCAGCAGTGAAAGCAGGGAACCTGGCCAAAGGTGCCAGCCAGAGGAGTGGCCTTTGTCTTCCAGATGGAGGTGTGTAAGGAAAGACAGAGATCCAGCTAAATGAGAGCCTTGTGCTTCCAGAGCTCAGCATAGCTGCACTGTCTGGTAGCACCTGTGTCTCCATTAAACGTTTTACAGAAATCTAGCTTCTACACACACAGTGTAATAAGCAGAGTGCATAAACAGAATCTGCCTGCCTGCACTTGCTGATGTGAACACACGGCCCCTCGTTTTTAGAGCAAATCATGCAGCCACGCGTACCAGCATATGTACTTCAGACATTGGACTGTGAGCAGCCCTCTCTGGGTAGGGTTCCCAGTGCTTGGAGGTAGCCTGGCTCCCTCCTTATAGAGTCCTGTGAGGAATCCATAGCCTAAGCATCCCTGCATGTGTTGCATCCCTCAGTACTCTTGGAGCTAGGAAATGTGCAACACATCCAATGGGAGTTAAGTGCAGCAGCTACAGTTCTGGTCCTTCTCCTTCTTTCCCAAGCAGGGATATTTAATACCTGCAGACAAGTTCATCCTGTTCTGATGAGTTTGAGATCTCAGGTCAGTTCCTGGGAGGAGGAAAAAAGTCCCTGTCTGGTCTTCCAGCCCGTGAGGCCCCACATTAGTCTGAAGTTCAACTAGGAACTGGGTCCCGTTTCCCAGTTCAGTCTCCCAGGTGGCTCCTGCAGCCAGTAAACTTGCTAGCTAGCTAGCAGGTTTGAGCCAAGCCACTAAAATCCTTGTGTCACACTGGTCATATAGTTACACCTTAGCTCTAGATGGCTCAAACAGGGAGTAAGAGTCAGAGCTGATGAAAATAAAACGCAAACACATGATAGCAGAAATGAAGTCTGAGTCATACCAATGCACAGGGAAACTTTGGGAGCAAAGAAAAAAGTGGAAAGAAACTCAGAGGTCATATGCTGCTAGGATGGGCAAACAGCTCCTGTGTGTTTTGGGAAGGGTTCCTAAAGTAGTAGTGCATATGCGTAGTTGACACAAAAAACTTCCAACCACATTATAGCCTGGTTTAAGCTGCAGGGGGAACCAGGCCACTGAGCCTTTGGCATCTAGCTCAGCCAGCTAGTCTGTGGAGAAGGACAGGGAGAGAGCCCCATCCCTCCGACTGATTCACAGCACTTGGGTAAGGCTGGGTTTGGAGGTGCGCATGAACTGAGGGTCTGAAGTGATGTGGTGTGAGTAAGTCTGAGCTCCCTAACAGCTGCTGTGCTACAGCAGACATCAGGCAGTGCTGTACTATTTGTATTGGCAGCTTGCAAACACTTAGCAGTGGCAGGTACTTAATGTTTGCTGTCATCAGTTTTACAGACTGGGGACAGAGGAGGGGAAGTGTAAAGTGTTCAAGAGAGGACCAGTCAAGAAGGGAAGGGAAGGGGGCATTCCCAGCTCCTGCCCTCTTTCTGGATGTCAGAGAGTTCTGTTTCTTGATAAGATTTACCCTTTTTTAAGCTGTTGGAGTGGAGCCCTGCTCCTGCTGCGCAGTTCTCCTCCCCAGCAGCTGCACTGCCCCAGTAGTCACCATCCCTGCCAGCGCAGCCACCAGCACTCACTGCACGCCTGCTCACGAGGGGTCTACCTAGGAAACTCAGATAACAACAGGCTAAATGTGCACATACACTTACTGTATGTCCTGCTACTGAGCACATGCTTTACCCTCCCTGCAAACACAGTCTTTATACAAGGAAAACATCTTTGCCCTTTCAAACTGAGGGTGGAGAACCCCTGCTTGTCATGATGCACTGTCTTCTGTAGTTTGAACCATCGTCCACAGCTCAGGATGGTTCTGACAGATCACTGAGGTGATGGTAAAAATCAGGTGCTCTTTACCTTCGATTATTTGTCAGAAAATTTGGAGAAGTCAGTGGCGTTTTGGAGGCACTTAATTAATTTGCATCCTTATTTTCTTACATGCAGATGGAGTTTCCCTCAGGCTCCACATTTAAGAGAAGGCTGCAAAGTGCTTGTGGGATCTGCACTACAATGCTTTTAATCTCCAGGCATCATTAAGTGGGCCTTTGCTGCAGTCTTACGGGGTCAGAGGAGCTGGACTGAGACCTTCTAAAAATACCACTATATTTAATAATAACAGAGGAAGTATAAACTCACCAGCCTGTTCAGTTGCTTTTTATAGCAATGTTTCTGTGTTTCAAGCCTGCACTGGTATAGAAGTGCCACCCTCAAATACATTTAATCTTTTGCTGCTTGATCACATTTTCCAAGTAAGATCTCTGTTGGCAGTGCTTGATGTAACAATAACTCAAGGCTGCCAGGAGCAGAAGGGAGGTATTATCTTAAATAATAATTTAAAGAAAAAGAGAGATATATTTAAAAAAGAAAACCAGACCCTGTTGGGATGTTTGTTTGGGTATGTGAATAGTTTGGAGGCTTTGCCTTTTTCAAGAAGAATGCAACGTTGGCTGCAGAAGAAGTGTGTCCATCCCATGTTTCACCTACTTAGCATGAAAAAAATATAGCTAGGCCAAAATTGTCTAACCCCCGGGAATTACAGTTCATGAAGACAGATCCTGCAGGCTGACTGAACTTTTGGAGGGCAAAAATAGGCATTGCAGGATCCATCAGGTGGGTAGACGTGCAGTTTGGCATGGAAGAGAGCAGTTTTGTGCCTTTAGTCTGAACTTGCTGTATTTGATTCTCCTTGCTACAGATCCCTGTTATCAACTTGAGAAACAACTTTCTGCATTCGTGCCGTAGCTCCTGACCTGTGAAGCAAAGCTAGATCCCAGGGCTCTTTGTAGCATTAGTTTCGTATTCAGGAAGGTGCCTGGATGAAATGTCAGGGCATTCAGATAGATGAATTACAGAGTGCAGCAGCTCGGCTGAAAGACAGAAAAGGTTCCAGTACTCAAGTGCAGACTTTTGTTTACCAAACTGAGCCTTGCTTTTGTGACAAAAAGGTGTAGTATGGGCGCTGCAAGCACTGGCTACTACCCATATATAGATAGGGGTGATTTTGTATTTATTTTTCTTTTTATTTTCAATCAATTTAACAAATCTTTCCTTTTCTGGTCTCAGTGGTAGAATGAAAAACAAATTAGAGTTTTAGGAATCCTGTAGATATTTACATTCCCATATGTACAGCAAAGCAGATGTCTGCAGAGTATAACCTGGAGGTGCAGCAGATGTGTTGCACTAAAGGGAAGCTTCTTGGAAAAGGGTTTTTCACAGGTGGCTTAAAGATACGCTCTCCATCAGGGCCTTCAAGAAGAGAGAAATCACTATCAAAATCTCAGGAAATACTGCCTCTGATCTGCCACAGCACTTGGCTTAGGGTGGGAAATGTTCCAGGCCCATTCTTAGGCTAGACCAGCACCTGGTGCCATAAAGTGTCTCTCTGGAGAAGCTCACATCGTGTCCTTGGGGATACCATGCATTGTGCTAGAGCAGGCAGTGTACCCAGGTTTGCAGGAAGAGAGCTAGGACTGGAAACAGGGCCCTCATGAGAGATTCCAGTTTCAAAGGGAATCAGTTCTTTCCATGAAGGGACAGTTTTATTGTGATAAATATGAAGAAAAATTAAATAGTTCTACAAACCCTTGAGTGGTTTGGGGTTTTTTTTGTTTAATAATTAATTTCAATGGCCACTTTAGACTAATGAAAAGCATCTGCCTGCACCAGTGATCATCCTCACCCTCATTCAAACCGGGAGACAGCACAGGGCATACAGTACATTTCCAACCCATGCAAGTGATTGCATTTGTCAGAGACAAGTTCTTGACTCTTGAAAGGAGGAGGTCACCATCAGCCTAGGTCAGTCCTTCTGTGTGAGGTGAGGAAGAGAGGCAAAGTGACTGGAGCGTGGAGGCTGAAGTGGTTTTGTCCTTTTGAGATATTTCACACTCAGGGTAGTTGGTGTCATTTCTGGGAGGCACAAATGAGGAAATTTGCCTTCATTGTGAAACTCAAATGGCATGGCTTGAGCCTGCAAGGTGGCAGGATTGTTTCTATTGGAAAGAAGACATACCCAAGCTACCTCAGCAGAAGTAGGGGAAAACAGCGCACCAGTAGGTCTGTATCACACAGTAATGGTGATTTTGTTAGGCACCACGTGGAGCAGAGGTGGTTTCTCTGGCTGAGCAGAGGTATGGGAATGAGCCAAGGATGAACAGTGTTAGTGATGAACAAGTGCTCAGCTTAAGAAGGGAGCAGTGCCCCCCTACTCTTGTGAACTCCCTTATGTTTGCTGTACTTGGTGCCTCTAAAATGCTGATCTTTCTAGCATCTGCTTTTGTGTTTGCAGAACATTATCAAGAAAGTGATTGGACAAAAATTTGTGTACAAGTTTGTCTCCTTTCCTGAGATTTTAAAAATGGATCCACATGCTGTGGAAATCAGCAGAGAGAGCCTTTTGCTGCAGGACAGCGACTGTAAGATGCCTTCCGAGAGCAGGGATCAGCACAAGCACAGCTTGTCAGCACTGAAAAGCACAAGCCGTAATGAATATATCCACTCTGGCCTGTACTCCTCTTTCACTATCAACTCTCTGCAGAACCAGCCAGACCCTTACAAGCCAATCAAAACAGAAAAACTGGAGGAGGAGTCAGAAGGAAACACACCAGTGGAAGAGGTTCGGACTGTCATCAGATTTGTGACAAACAAAACAGACAAACAAGTTATGAAGCCCATGGTGTCGTTGCCTTCCACTTCCGAAACGGCAGCTGCCTCTGCTTTTCTCAGCTCGTCAGTATCAGCTAAAATATCTTCCTTAAAGCTACCCAACAGTGCCAGCATTTCATCTCCATCGTCATCTTCCTCCCGGTCACCGTCTCTGTCTCCCACCTCACCTCTCCCTGCAGATCACAGGAGCCTCTTCCTTGATTCCAGTTGCCACGACTCAGATTCCCTTGAGCCTTTGAACCTCTCCTCAGGCTCCAAGGCAAAATCTCCATCTCTTCCCCCAAAGGCTAAAAAACCCAAAGGCTTGGAAATCTCTGCCCCACCTATGGTCCTTTCCAGCACCGACATCGGTTCCATCGCCCTCAACAGCCCTGCACTTCCTTCAGGATCCCTGACTCCAGCTTTCTTCACTGCACAGGTGAGACCTGCCTGTCTCCTGTACTCTTGCTGTAGCCAGGTATTCCCTCCATGTGGCCAGGAGTGTTACCTCTTTGCGCCTATCCAGCTGGTGGGACAAAAACCGACATATGGGGAAGAGGGAAACATAGCAGAGGTCTGAAAAAAGAGTGGAAAGTAGGTTCTTCCTGGGGTTCCTATGTGAGTGTGGGAAAAGTTGTCACAGTTCATAGTCTGCCTGGAAGGGTAACAAGATGGGCAGCCGTTAGTGAACATGAGTGAATCGCTTGTCAGTTCAAACCAGGTCTACAAAACAAGCAGGACAAATTCAACAAGAAAAACACGAGGGTTTTGTAGGTCATGACTTGAGCATGTGTGCTGTGGGATGCTTGGTTGGGTTTCAGACACTGTGACCTTTTCATTAGCTTTTGAATACAGAGTAAATTAAGTACTTTCTAAGGAAGGCTCGTAAGCCAGTTCCAATTTCCAAAGTTCTATGCATCCACAGAGGCCTTGCCAGAGCTTCCTTTCAGGACAGGCCTGCTGAATAAGCAGGAGGTTATTTTGTTCTCTTTAATCACATTTGTGCAATCACAATGGCAAGTTCCCATTTTCAAGCAAGTCTAGGAAAAAAAATGTAAGAGATCAGAGGAGGGGGGGGAAATCACATAGGTAATGGCCTGGTGTGTCCATCAGTGAGCTGCTACCGCTGCAAAATGAGACCAAAAAACCCAAGAGTGAAATTATCCCGATGAGGAACCCCCCCAACGTCTCTCCTATCCTCCCCAGTAAAAATGCAAATACTGGCATTGAATGCAACAAACTGAAAGTAAATAAACACAAAGGGTGTGGGTGGGTGTGTGTTACAAGCCATCATTTACTTGCAGTTCACACACCTGTAAGCCACCAGAGATACCAAGGTTGTGTTGCAAAGGCATAGGATCCTGTGGTCCATTATCTGTCATTTTGACACTCTGAAGCCTTGAAGTGAAGTTATGCTTGGCAGGAAGAATGGAAGTGTGGCAAACCAAAATTGGGGTGCATTGACAGACTCTTATAACTAACTGTGGTATAACCACAGTATTTTGCTCGTAGGGAGGAAATCTGACAAATAAATCACATCAGATGCCAACCAGACACAGTGACTGACAACATGAGTTACTACAAACTGGCTTTAATTTATTGCTGCCCCCAAACTCAGTATGAACAGAGATTCGTTTCCTCATTTTCTAATGATTTCTTTGAATGTTTAGTTTTCTAATTCATCTATAAACTGGTGTACTTACTACCGCTGAACGACATAGAAGGGAATTAGCTAGATGATTGTGGCTGTAATACCACAATTCAAAATAACTAAAGCCATAATTTAGGCTGGAAATCTGCAATCTATCCCATTATCCTAGGAAGAGCTTGCATCATACCTTAGACGATCTCTGATTCATCATGTCCCAGCGGTACAAGGGCAGGGGCAGGTGCAGAACAGGACGCCAGACACCAGCTCCTGCTCTAGGGGTGATGTAGGCTCAAGGAAGGTCCTGCTGCCTCAGAGGATGTTTCAGGTGGCTTTCTATTGTACCTGCTGGTCATGAGGAATACCCTTGTGAAAGGGCACATAATATACACAACCAATTTCAGAACAGCAAAGTGGGTTTGAAGATGCCAGTGCATACAGTACCATACTTCAATAGAGAAATGTCAGCTTTCTGTTTGGTTAGCTTCAAAGAGAGAGATTTAGACTTTGTTCAGTACTTGCTTCTTTTACAGATTACTTTTGCTTGTTAATTTGTTGGCTGTCCCTCGGCCCATGTGGATATGTAATTTTGACTTACTCTTTTCCTTCAGGCCGCTACTTTAGCATTTGTAACTTTTACAGCATGCTGTTTCCTTATGGACAAAGTAGTGTGCCTGCAGCCAGCACGTGCATGGTCTGTGTTATATCCACATACACCATCCAGGCTCCAGCACGTGCCTAATGACCTGGGAAGTAACATACGCGTGACAGCACTTGTCTGTTATCTGACAGCTAGAAGAAAGATTGTACTTAGATGCATCCTTTGCCAGAGAAGTCAGGAGCCATGAGCATTGTTACTTAACGTAATCCTCTCTGTGCAATGAATTATTTCTATTTAAGCTGTTCCTTAGATTATAATGATGTTTTTTAAGCAGGAACTTCCCACTGGGTTCCACACGGAGTACCAGATGTACAGCTGCGTGAGGGCACAAAACAAGCAACACTTCAATTTCTGTGTGTAATTTCAGGATAGCCTGTGCTCTGGTGGTGTTTACACTTACTTTTCCTGTGGTGGTTTTGATGCTTGACTGGTGGCAATACTGAGAACAAGCCTGGGAGGCTCTGTGCTCTTGTTGCATTAAACAGATTTGGAGGCTTGCTTTGGCCAGCTCTTGGCTCTGGCAGAACTTTCAGAGGTGAATGGAGGACAGCTCAGTTTCAAGCCTCCTGTCTCTCTGAAGACCTGCTCTGACTGTATCTAGGTAGGAATAAACACCTCAGGTTTTATTCATTACTTTCAGAAGACCCTCTCAATAACTGCATTTTCAGTTGTGGGTATCTGCAAATTCTCAGACACAAAGAACCGAGGCATAGCTTGCCAAAGCTCTTAGTACAGTTGGCACAATACTGTGTCCTTAGTCAGCTGTTGTTGGGTCGTGCTGCTTACCTCTTCTGTTTTAAGGTTAGTAGGCTCTTCTGTAAGTAGATTTCTTGAGTATTTATCCTGACCTAATTCAGTGCGTTCTTTGTCAGTCTTGTAAATCCCCATCAACAGCTGCCTGCCTGTGGAGATCAGCTTCTCATGTGGCACAGGACGAGTGCTCTCACTGGTACTGCTGTTTTCTTGCTCCATAAAAACACAGTGGTCCTGGAAGAAGGTGTTTGTGAGGGAGCTGATCACAAGGGCTTGCTTGTCAAGTGTTTTGCTCACATACCTTGAGCAGACCTGTCACTTTACGAGACCAAGACAGAAGTTTTCTCCTTGCCAGGCCCCTCTTTGCCCCTTTTGATTTCGTCCAAACACAGAATCATAGAAAAGTTAGGCTTGGAAAGGACCTTAAGATCATCTAGTTCTGGTTTCAAACCCTTACCTTACTGATACTTCTGTGACCACCATACCTGCTGTTTTAGTGCATGGCACCTTCTGCTTTCCCAGCAGTACCACATGTTTATTAATCCTTGGGACATAACTGGTTTCTTCCATGGGGTTTGGTGGTTCTGATCCACCTTCCTCAGCACAAGGGAGATGGCAGTGTCCTTTCCCATCACATTTCTCCATGAACCCAGCTTCTTTGGAGATTCCTTAAGAAAAACTGTTCCCTTCAAGAGCAGCCAAGCTCTTTGTATTAAACACCCTTTCAGACACCTTACGACAGCATCACTGGAGGACCTTAATTTGCCACTCCTTGTCTTTCCCATCTCTTCTGCTGGTGTTAAATTAATTGCTTGACCCTCCAGTGAACTCCAGTGCAAGCACTTCAGAGCAGGTCTGTACTCTGTGCATTTGCATAGAGCCTCCAACACCACAGCCAGTCCTCAGGCACTGCTTTCCAAGGGATATGTCTGTCATACCTGAAAATCTTCATGACCCATGGTACCCGCCCTCCTGAGTCTGCTGACCACAGAGTCCTGGCAATGGGATGTGACAGCCCATGGTGTGAGCAGTTAACTGTGACCCCTGGTACCAATTGCTGTATGTGGGAGTTTGTATTTCTGGCCTGGTGGGAAGCTAGCAGGTACCAGGATGCACGACATGCTGGCTACTAGGGGGACATACTCCTTATCCTCCGGCTTCTAGCTTCTCGTCATGTATTTTAAGCTCTCGACAAACTGATGCCCCAGTTCAGCAGAGCACTGAGGGACTTGTCCTACACAGCAAAACACATACTTACTTGCTAAGCGTGCACTCAAATTCCATTAAGTGCTGTGCTAAATAGGACTGATTTGATAATTGGCATCAAGCTCACTGGTAAGATTAACTCATTATGCCAAATTCTTTGTTCAGAACTGTCACATCACTTTCATGTTCTTTTTTGGAAAGATAAAAGTTACTCTGGGTACAGAATAATTGATATGATTCTTCCTTTGAGTGGAGATTTGCATGTGCTTTAACTTTTCCCTCCCCAGTAGTGCTTTAGGAGTGCTGGGAGCATTCCCAGTGATCCTTGTGCACCATGGCACTGAAAGGAGCCACCTCCACATTGGGAAAAGCTTTGGATTCTTACTTCTTGCCATTCTGGTTCTTTTCAAGCAATGAGCTGCGCCCTCCGGTAACACCCAAACCAGTTCCTTCAAACTTCTTCATTTTGAGCAGGCGCCATCAGAGGAGGTAACTTCAAAGGCTAGCAGCAGCTCTCTTGGCTCCATGTGCAGATGCGTTAATGCTTCAAAAGCTGCAGCCAGTTCAAGCAGCTGCTGCCCTTCAAAGGTAAAATGTGGCTCTGAAGGAGATTAGGCTGTGTTCACAGACATGGGGTGTTTTATATGGTCACATGAGCGTGGTTCACATAAACAATAACCGTGCTTCTCCTTCAGAAAATCACAATAGAAATGAAGTCAACACTAGGGAAGATGTCTGCAGCTATCCAGAACTGACCTCTGTGGGGACAGGATGCAGGGCCGGGTGGCCATGCGCTATGTCTGAACTATAGGCAAAAGAGCCAGTTGGTGAAGTGTAAGACTTTTGGGTTTGTAACTCCTGAGGTTTGCATCATAGGGTGTTCTTTTGTCTTGCAGACCCCAAATGGATTATTGCTGACCCCAAGCCCGCTGCTGTCTAGCATTCATTTCTGGAGCAGCCTCAGCCCAGTTGCTCCTCTGAGTCCTGCCAGGCTGCAGGGACCAAACACTCTGTTCCAGGTAGGTCTTGCCAATGCACAGGTTTAATTTCTGAAAGTGCACGTGTGGGAGGGACACCAGGGAAACATCTCACATCTGTCTGGAGCTTTGGAAACAGTTAAAGAAAATACAGGAGTTAATAGGCACTTTGAAAGAGAGGCCTTCTTACTTGTAACCCCTTTAAATGCCTCGTACCACAGTCAGAACCTACAAGGCAGTCTCTACCACAAGCACACATGTGTTGTATGAAGGAAACAGAAATAAATGTTAGACCCCAGTAAGAGCTCTTAGAGCTTCGGGAAGAGAGTGTAGACCAGCCAGAGATCAGCCAGGAGAGTGGTGGAACATGGACTCGGAGAAAAGCAAGACCAGTTTGGGGTCTCACACACAGTAAGGTGGGTGTAGGTTAACCCTTCTGCCTGAATGAGCTACCTCTCACTCAGAAAGACAGGGTTTCATAGAATCATAGAATAGTTAGGGTTGGAAAGGACCTTAAGATCATCAAGTTCCAGCGTCCCTGCCATGGGCAGGGACACCTCTCACTAAACCATATCACCCAAGGCCTCGTCCAACCTGGCCTTGAACACTGCCAGGGATGGAGCATTCACAACCTCCTTGGACAACCTATTCCAGTGCGTCACCACTCTAACAGTAAAGAATTTCCTCCTTATATCCAATCTAAACTTCCCCTGTTTAAGTTTTAACCCATTACCCCTTGTCCTATCACTACAGTCCCTAATGAAGAGTCCACCCCAGCATCCCTATATGCCCCCTTCAGATACTGGAAGGCGGCTATGAGGTCTCCTTGCAGCCTTCTCTTCTCCAGGCTGAACAGCCCCAACTTTCTCAGCCTATCTTCATATGGGAGGTGCTCCAGTCCCCTGATCATCCTCGTGGCCCTCCTCTGGGCTTGTTCCAACAGTTCCATGTCCTTTTTATGTTGAGGACACCAGAACTGCACACAATACTCCAGGTGACGTCTCACGAGAGCAGAGTAGAGGGGCAGGATCACCTCCTTCACCTGCTGGTCACGCTCCTTTTGATGCAGCCCAGGATACAGTTGGCTTTCTGGGCTGCGAGCGCACACTGAAGCTGGCTCATGTTCATTTTCTCATCGACCAGCACCCCCAGGTCCTTCTCCGCAGGGCTGCTCTGAATCTCTTCTCTGCCCAACCTGTAGCTGTGCCTGGGATTGCTCCGACCCAGGTGTAGGACCTTGCACTTGGCATGGTTAAACTTCATGAGGTTGGCATCAGCCCACCTCACAAGCGTGTCAAGGTCTCTCTGGATGGCATTCCTTCCCTCCAGTGCATCAACTGAACCACACAGCTTGGTGTCATCGACAAACTTGCTGAGGGCACACTCACTGTCCATGTCAGCGATGAAGATGTTAAACAAGACTGGTCCCAACACCGATCCCTGAGGGACACCACTCGTTACTGGTCTCCAGCCAGACATTGAGCCATTGACCACAGCTCTTTGTGTGCGGCCATCCAGCCAGTTGTTTATCCACCAAGTGGTCCATCCATCAAATCGATGTCTCTCCAATTTAGAGACAAGGATGTCGTGTGGAACAGCATCGAATGCTTTGCACAAGTCCAGGTATCTCTACTCCTGTCCAGTTCTGTAGTCCCATCGTAGAAGACCACCAAATTGGTCAGGCCGGATTTCCCCTTAGTGAAGCCCTGCTGGCTGTCACCAAGCACCTTGTTGTTTTTCATGTGCCTTAGCATGCCTTCCAGGAGAATCTGCTCCAAGACTTTGCCAGGCACAGAGGTGAGACTGACTGGTCTAATTCCCTGGGTCATCCATTTTCCCCTTCTTGAAAATGGGGGTTATATTTCCCTTTTTCCAGTCATCAGGAACTTCACCTGACTGCCATGATTTTTCAAATACGGTGGGCAGCAGCTTAGCAACTTCATTTGCCAGCTCCTTCAGGACCCGTGGATGGATTTCATCATGGACTTGTGCACATTCAGGTTCTTAAGATGGTCTCGAACCAGATCCTCTCCTACAGTGGGCCAAAGGTCTTCATTCTCACAGTCCCTGTGTCTGCCTTCCAAGACTTGGGTGGTGCGGTCAGAGCCTTTGCCAGTGAAGACCGAGGCAAAGAAGTCATTCAGAACCTCAGCCTTCTCCAAATCCTGTGTAGCTAGTTCACCTGAGAGCCTCCTGAGGGGGCCTACATTGTCCCTAGTCTGTTTTTTATTTGCTATGTACCTGTAGAATCCCAGACAGTAATGGCAGTCTGGACCTGAAGCCTCCATTTTCAGTTCTCCTGCAAATTATCCATGAGTCCTCAGCCAAGTTACTTTACACCTCTGAGCGTGACCTCTCCTTATGTAACGGGAAAGGCAGCACTGCCCCCTCTTGCTCATGGGTATTGGGAGAGTAAACATGTCAAAAGTTACATAGAGATGTAGTAAATACAAAAGTTATGAAGTAAACCGTGATGGCCACAGCACGCAGCTGCATTTGCTCGAGGCTTAGGAAGAGTATGGTGGGGATGGTATTAGCAGCTCCAGCTGCTGCATAACAGCTGATTCAGTAATTCACAGGAGGAATGATGCTGATCTGCTGATGGCCATGCGAACAGCTGGAGAATGCAGGTTCACGTCTGGAATGAACTCTGACCACTGTGGAGGACCAACACTAACAGAGGGGGCTAGGCAGGGACCCTGGGTTGGTCTCTGAACCTTCAAGGAAGTCTTGACTGCCCAGCTCTGAGGCTGGTGCTGGGCAGTCAGACTCAAGTGATCTGCTCAGGTGCGGTTCTCACTGGGGTAGTAAGTGTTTCTACCTCCAGTGGGACAGGTGAGCACAGAGCCATGGGGCTCCTTGATTGTGTTTCAGATGAACTTACTTATCCTGGGACCTTACTTTTACACACATGGTTATAAGCAGCCAGACATTTCATTCAGGAGGGAAGTGCCTGCGCCATGGCCTGGAATGAGCTTGTATGAACGTACATTGGCTGCCCCTGTGGGAACTGAAGAGTGGCCTTGGCTTTCTGCCTCCTGAGACACCCAAAGGGCCTTACCAGTGATCCTTGATTCAGGCAAAGGCCACAATCACAAGTGTGCAAAGCACAGAGCTTTGTTTTAATAGCAGGTAGGAAATGGCAAATACAGCTGAAGTGTAGCCAAGCCCACAGGAGCTACTGGGTCGACCTACATAGGCATCAGGGTAGAGCTCTCCGCGTGCTGCCTGCACAAGCCAGCCTGTGCTTCATGCTAACCCTATCAAGGAATGGAGGAAAGAGCTGAAGCTGTCTCAAGTTGCTTTCACCTGGTCATTTGCACCGGGAGCTGAAAGAACATTTGGTGGTTGTTGAAGGAGTCAGAATCCTGCCAGGAGCTAGAGGCTGGGGCAGCTCTGCAGTGCCTGCCTGCCCCTGTACCCTTGCCTGCTGGCGTGCGTTGAGCACAGGTTGGGTTCCTGCATTTCTTTTTCTTTCAGGTGCGTGCTGCTTTTCACAGTAGCACTGTGCTTGACACTGCCTGCTGTTCTTTAGGGCTGTAGTCTTTGTGTAGTGCAAGGACCAGGATGGGAGCCATCCATGTCCTGGTCCCGCTAAACCCAGAATATGCCTATGGGAAAGTACAGTTCCTCCTTTAATGAACCTGGAGGAGCCTGTTCTGTCCAGCTATGTGCATACTCCCTCACAGAGCACATAGAGGCTTATTAACCAGTAAAAACTCTTCTTCAGGATTTATAAGGTGAAAGCAACTCCCATAAACCTATGCCTGTGCTCCCTTGCAGCCTATGTAGAGCATCACTAAAATCTGCTGTCTCCTTCCACACAATTTGCCTTGATACAGTGACCTACCTGGAAGGTCTTCCCTCTGAAGCCACACTGCTGTGTAATTAAGCTTGTTTTGATGTTTTGCCATTAGTTTGAAATCAGCATATAACTGGAGTTACAAGAGACTTGCACAGGACTGGTTGATTCAAGAAAATGCAGTCACATGTAAGGATTGCCAAATTAGCTTAGATTAAGTGCTAACTAAATGAAGTGTATTTTCTTTGTTGATGGTGAATAGATGGTGGCCCTGAGTGGGCACAGTCAAGTCCCAGACACTGACAGAGATGTACGAATAAAAGGCATCGTCAGAGCTCCAGGGGCTATAGCAGGAAGAAGAACAAGAGGTGGGCTGGGCTGGAGACCAGGGGAAGTATGTTAGCATCATTTGCATCTCAGGACATAGTGCCAGCATGCCACCTGCCTCAACAGACACCAGATATCACACAGCCCTCTTTCTGTTAGCTTTAGAAATCACATGAAACACATTGCAATTTACATGTCTGGCTTTAGAAGCCAAGACGAGAACAGCAAGAGCTCACAGTCAAGCTCTGTGTTTTAATTAACTTTGGCAGGAGCAATGGAAACATTTCTCGAGGTTTGGCTTGGTTCAACCAGAGGTACCAGCCAGTCCTGGCCACACCAGGAGTGTTGGAGCCAGACCCCTGCGGGCCCCTGCACTGCTCAGCAGTGGTTTTCAGCTGAAGGTTGGAAGAGAGGTATCATTAACCCATATCTTAGTGGAAGAGTAAAGCTGTTACAAGCAGATTACGTGCCCATGTAGAGGTTGATTACAGCACAGTTGGCTTTTGAAGGACTGATCTGATCAGGGGTAAAACTACAGCAGACACTTGGAAGTTGAGAGCTCTGTTATTCAGCTCTGCCTTTCAAGCCAACACAAACCCAGCAGCAGCTCATGGAGCTGAGCCTTGAGGCCAGATCACTATCTACTGCTGGGATAATTCCCACCTCATGCTGCAGCAGGTTTATTCCGCCTACTTTCTTTGGTGCTTCTCAGGTCAGATGTTAAGAAGTAGTCAATACACATCACTGCAGGCAAGGTAGAGTCAGGATGCTGTCATGAACAAGGAGTATACAGCTTCTGTGTTGAGCAAGTAGTTTTTGCACAGTATTTCAGAAGCAGAAGCTTAATACTAAACGTCAGTCTGTTCTGCTTCACGTACTGAATGATCTGGTGTAGGTAGTTTATGGTTTCTTAGTGAATACAGGGAGAAACTGTAATTACTGGAGAGTAATTTTCCCTATGCTTTATATTCACAGTTGTGCTTTTTCTGCCCTAAATCTACACCTCGACTAACTTTTGCAGAGCTTTTTCCTGTGTAGCTTTTATTAAGGGCAGATGCAAAGGTTGTATTATAATTAATATTTTGTAGACTGAAAAACATTTCTGGAAGCAGAATGGGTGGGGAAGGATTTCTCTACAGTATTCACTTTCCCAGGGTGATGATAAATGTGTTGTTACGTTGTTATATAAAATACAGCCAGTAGCAGATCCCTGTACATTTACAAGTTATTCAGGTTTTGTCCCTCTGTTTTACATTCCTAATGGCTGATGCAGGCATTTAGTACACATCTTAGCTTGTAGGAATCAGAAGTCCTGAAACCATCTGGAGTCAGTTGCTAATGCTAAAGCCACGTGCTTCTGGGCTGAATGCTTTGAGATAAGGAGTAATGTTTACCTTTTGGCCTCTTCCAGTTTCCAACTCTGCTGAACGGTCACATAACAGTGCCGCTCCACAGCCTGGACGGAGCCTCTTCTCCAGTGCTGCTTTCTCCTAACGCCCAGAAATCCTGATGATGCCTCATCTTGCCAAGGACTTACTGGTGGATTTAACACTTCATTCCTATGGGCTAGTTTTTTTATCATCTCCTGTGTCATGAGAAGGACATTGTGAAAACCCTCTATTACCTTGGTTTGCACTTTTCATTACATGGATAATCTACTTTTATTATGTTAGCATTTTAAACAGTGTTTATATATAAAAGTATATATAAATCTGTTTTGCATTAAACGAATTATAATTTTTTTATATCATAGCTCTCAAGTGTTGAACACTTCTGTTGTTGATGAAGTACTTTTCCTAACGGACTGCAACAATGTATCTAATAAGGATGTGAAGCTTCTTTTTAATCCTTTTTCCTGCATATTATGCATTGTGCTTGTGGAAACTATAACCGGCTGTGCCTTCTTTTGCATAATGTCATGTAAATGATTTATATATTTTCTAGTATTAAGATAAAAGGTTGAAAGAAAAAACTAGTATTGAACAGCCCTATGGTAGTATTTCAGTATTTCTCCACGGATAGGCCATAAGATGCAGTGTATTCATGTACCTTTGTATTAAGTGCTTTCAAATTGTATAAAAAATAGCCTTACGTACGTAACCAACGTTACAGTCACGAGATGCATTGAGGAGTAACAAAGCCACACTTCCACATTCACGCCCAAGTTCTTCTGTCGCGTTGCAACAGGGAGGAACTGGGCTGTGTATTTTCACCAGACATTTCCAGCACTGGAGAATACTTCTGTAGAACAGGAGAAGTTATTTGGCCTATACTTCTCACGAACTGTCAGCATTACAGCTGGAAAGACAAGAAGTAATCTCTGTCCTCCCAGGGAATGAGGATCATTCCTGACAGAGAATTTCCAGGTGCTTTGTTCAGTCGTGCCAAGTGCCTTCTATTTCCCTGGAAAGATTATTCTAGCTACTAGAGCTCAGAAGGCTGCGTTTCCCCTTCCCCCAAAGCTGGAAAAGTTACAGGACTGTAAATGAATGCCTGGTGCTTGTAAAGAGGCATACTGTACATGTGGGATGTTTATGTATAAACATCTGCATTCTGGATTAAAAACCAGCACTGTGTTACTATATGCTTGCAACTTGAATTCACTGGGTTTGTCCTCTACCTTGAGGTAATGCTTTAGTCATCTAAATGTCAGGTTAGGATTAGGCTAGACTCCCTGGCACCACAGATTCTAATCTTGGCAGGGCTGATGCAAATCTTCAGCTCTCTGAGGTGGCTAAATTGGGTTGAATGCAGCTTTACCGTGTAGGTAGGTTTTCCAGATGAGACCTTCAAAACCCAAACCAGTATCAGATCCTGTTTGCTGCAGGTCACTGGCGCTTCTCCTTTGCTTTTTGGCCAAGTGGCTGGCCAGAAGTCCATTCTTTCTGGAATTTACGCAGTGAGTTGTCTGCTGATTTTCTGCTTGGATGCATTTCAGTGCTGATGTGTGTAGTTAATTGTAAAGAGCTTTTGGATCCTTCAACCTGAAAGGTGCTAAATAAACATTTTATTAATGCAGCTCTGATGTTGAAAAGCCATTTTTGGGGCAGAGGTTATCTGACAAAAGACAGCAGGAATTTTCCTCAGGCTACTGGGTTGCACAACCAAAGATGAGCTTCCCTCTCAGTAATTAATGGGACAAAACCCTGCCATATCTGTATAAAGTACCAGTGCTGATAAACAGAGCAATTAGATGCAAGACACAAGGAAAAAGAATGAAGTGCCTGGGAAGCCATTTGCTCCATTCAGCGTTTTAAGAGCTCCAGGAGGTGCCGCCCTGAGGAGTCAAACCCAGAAGACGAACCTATGCAAAACCTATGAGTGAAGTATTTTATACAAAGTTAAATCAGCGTAGACTGGAAGAGGAGGCAGCGTGTCACTGAAGGGACTGACTAGACCAGTGGAGATAGATCACAGGGCTCACAGATCAAACATTCCTTTCAATGGCTTCCTCCCAGGTACATGGAATGTTTTCAGTGACTAAGTTGAGAGGCAATTGCCCCCACTCCAGAGCCAACTCTCGTCTCATTTTAAAGAGGCATAAATGCCTACTTCAGTAGAGTCTCACACCAATACAGCTAATGGGAGAACAAGGCATACAGATGAACTGTTTCTCTCTAGTTTAAAAAGAATAGACACATGAAAATTTGGTCTTTGACTTAATAAGAAGCGTTGAATAATAACACTGCAAAACCCCCAGATGAACACGAGAAGAGGGAGCGTGTGACAGAAAAGTGATGCCTAAAAGCATCCCAGTTCTCATGGTTTTGTTTCTTCCAAGGTTCTACCATGAGTAAGGCAGATGTTTTTCTTTTCAAGGCTCAGCACAGCTCAGCACACCCACACCTCCCTCCCACCCTCCTGCCCTGTCAGTGACTTTTAAGGATAGCAGAAAATTATCAATTCTGGGACAAAAACCTATTTCAACAAAGTACTGTAAAGGATCCAAAAGAATCCAGGAAAACTTCAGGGAAGACACCCAGAAACAGGAAGTAAATAGTGTTGTCTTCTCATCCTCAAGAGCATAAAAAAGCAACAGAATGCATCATCTTCTGCTACTTGTCTTTTCAGTTAAAAAAAATTGGATGTCCAAATGAAATCTGCCTTCCAAGTGGTCAATCATGTGGAACAAACATTCTTCCTACTGGGAAGGATTTATACAGAGAAAGTCCAGCCTCTCAAGTCTAACGCTTACCTAAAACACTAGATTGTGGCGCTGTATGCTTCAGAGAAAATACTCTATTGGTAATTTCCTACTGAACTTTGTTAACGGGCATCTTTTAACTGTAGAGCAAAATCAAATAAATGTTTTTTAAAGTAAATACTGTGAAAGCGTTGGTATTTCTGTGGCATGGAGAGCTCCAGTCAGTCCTGGGGAACAAAATAGGAGCTTCTCTTCTCGGTAGTATTGCAGCTTGATGATTACTTGAGGGATTTTTGGACAGATTTACACTTTATGCATGCTTCAGCGATACACAGAATGTTTTCTATACAGGCTGGGTGCACGATCAGGCTATTTCTGCCTTATCTTCACATTGCTTTTTCAGAAAAGCAAGTATCCACCAGCAGGGTCACAGCAGCTACTGGGTAGCTTTGCCAAGAGATCGCACACATTTCTGCCCTGGCACAGGTGAGAGGCTCCACTTCTAAAGAAAACTTTCAAGGTGGGGAAAGCAGTGATGGGTGGTAACAAACTTCAGAAAAGGAAGGATTTGGCACGTGTCCGTTACATCAACAATTTGGTTTGTCTGAGTAAAACTTGTCTCCTCAGACAGGCACTTGCCAATCTGGAGGTACCTACCAAAGAAATGATGAACTCTCAACGAGATGGTAACTGTTTAAAGGGAGATGGTCCTTTAAAACAGACCGTGGCATTTCATTTTTACAGAGCAAGGCTGCATTAAGAGGCTGTGTGATGTTGCGCCTACAGGAAGCATCTTCAGAAGCCATCACAACCACCAAATGTGTTCAGAAAAGGCAGAGCAACTACGGATATTCTTTCACGTAAGGGAATTGTGGCTGCCTTCTGATCCTGAGACTGTCTCTATATCCTGTAGGATAAACAAACATGGGTCATGCAGGTTTAAGCACACCTCTACAAAGTTGTTAAAAAGTGACAACTATTGAAATCCATTTTAGCCCCAGACCGTAACTGCTCTTCCTGATTAACATGTGAGCACTCTGCCTGCACAGGTGTAGTACAAACCCATTTCTTAAGGGCAAAGAGCCTGACAGCATTAGTCAGGAGGATTGTAAACTTAATGAGTAAAGGAGAACAAACCCGAGGCAAGGGCTCTGGAGCAATGAGCATCACAGCCTGCCTTGGGCACAGGGGGGTAGTTGTAGGAAAGCATCCTTGAGGAGAGCACTACAGGATATGTTGTGTTACTTTTCTTGAAAGGTTGCCATCAGTTAGTGTTCACTCTGAAGAAGTGCAAATGAGTAACCTTAATGATTCCTAACATGGCTCCAGGCCAGCTGCCTGCTCTTGCAAAGCAAAGGAAGGGACATGGAATGGGGGTAAAACAAAGCCTTGGAAAAAAGAAGCCTGGGGTATGAAAGGGGAGGAGCAGGCAGCACTGGCGCTGCCATGCAGACCATGGAGGGAGGCTCTCTGCAAGAGTATGTTGGAGCAAGGCTAGGGAAGAGCATTCTCGGTTTGGAATATGCAGTAATGGCAATTCCATCAGCAGGAAGATCCCACTGCAACAAATAGAGGAGCTTCATAGCTCTCTAGGGAAAAATGTGTTTCAACGTATGGCATCTGAGCTGAACGAGACTCATATTTCATTAGGAGGACCATAAAAGCCATCTGCTCAGGCAGGCCCGCTTCTTAAGTGATTTTGGAGGATGCGGCCAGGACAATAAATTAAGCAGTTATTTACAACAGTATGTGCATATGTGTGCACTCACAATTTAAGTTGGCTCAAAAATGACATAACTTAAATGAGTTGAGGGATTTTTGGAAACGTGAGAAGAGTGGAAAATTGTAATGTACACGTTTTTCCACTGATATCAATCTTTTTCTTTCACTTAACAAGAGAGGCACATTAGAGCCCACTGAGAATCACACACAAAAGATTAAGACAAATAGATCTAGAATAGCTAAACTCTAATCCAAGTTCTGACAACACACATTTCCACAGTGGCCTAGAACAAGAGTGTGATTTCTGTGCAGCTGAACCCCACAGATGAAAAAGGCTGCATGGTACAAAGTACAAAGCCCATGTATCTACTGGGCTTTTACACTTTTTAAAATCATCCAAACTGTACAGTCAGAGCTTACTTTAGCATTTAGCAATTAGCTCAACACCTGTACAGTGCTTCCTTTAGGTTTTATTAGCTATACCTGTTATCTTTTAAATTGGCCTGCCACAGATGTTGGTGAGATACTTGGATGTTGCTGACCCACATACAAACCGAACAGTGGCATTTAATCTCTAAAAGCCCTGTCTCTAAAATGACAAGCACAAACAATCTGTAGAAAGGAAGTACTCAAGTTCCTCCCCAGAATTAAGAAATTTCACAGAAACGTTGCATTTGTTTCAAGGCCAAACTTTACTAAGGGGAAAAAGGTACCAAAATGTGGTACGGAGGTGCACGAATTATTTCAGCTCTGCCTGTCATTGACCAGACAAAACGATCACATGTCTGGGACCACACATGCTCACAGACAAGGAAAATCCCGGTATTTCTTCAGTGTCTCTATGTGCTATAGCTGTGCATTTCCATACCCTCATTTGGATTTCATTCAAGTCTGACCTTAATTCTGGGTATTTCCTGGCTTTGTAATACTTGGCTTGGGGATGTTTACAACATACCTTTCATACATTTTGTCCTCAATAACTGAATGTATTCTTAACCTTAATTCCATCTTAACGTTGCAAAACAGAAACAATGCACCTTTATTACACTGGAAAACCCATGCACAAACAACAAGGAAGCAGCCCAAAGAACACTACCTTGCAGTGTTTTCAAATGATTTGCAAATACAAAGTATGTTGGTTCTTCAACAACTGTTTATTTTAACTTTTATTGCCCAATTCAGGGATACACTCCGGCTACTTAATGCTGTGG